CCAGGCCTGAGGGCTCTGCTCTGCTCCCCACAAAGAGGAGACAGTCCCTGTTGTCTCCTGGAGTAGCAGCCACACAGCCCTCCTGGCACCTTTGTGACCAGCAGTGAAGGATGTGGAGGCAGGGGCTGTGATTCAGGGGAAGGAAGGAACTGATGGGGAATCACAGGGGGGGGAAAAAAGTCAAGAGGAGACTGGATGGGCACCTTGCTGGGGCCACCTAACCCCAGTTGTCTTTCCTGCCTGGTGCAGGGGGCTGGACCCCATGATCTTCCGAGGTCCCTTCCAGTCTACAAACAAAGATGGAGATAGGTCTGAGCTGGCCTGGCCTCAAGTCGGCGTCCTCAACCTACCTCAATGACTGGTCATCTCCAGTGCAGCAATGTGGCTTGTTGGACCAGGGCTTGTAGGCAGACTGTGGCTGCCCAGATAATACAACTCCCCCCTTCTGCCTCTCTCTCATAGCTCTCGGCCACCTTGACCATCCCTCTCTGGCAGTGGTTCCTCACGTGCTTTGGGAAGAAGACGGCCGTCTATGTGGGGATCTCGGTGAGTAGCCCCTTGGAGGAGGCGAATGGGGCACTGGGACAGAGGCTGGCTTACTGCCGAGTGTCTCGGGGGTGATTCTTGCAAGTGGAGCCGGAAAAGACCAGTCCCTGAGGGCAGCCAGAGAACTGGACCTTTGGCCAGGCAGGAGCGAGTGCCCTGTGCCGCCGTCCTGAGCTGCTGGGTCTCTGTCTGGGTCTTAGCAGTGTCATGGCGGAGGCCAAGCGCATGGTGGGCTGTGGAGACTAGCTTGTTTCTGGATGCAGGCCTTATGGGGAGGGGCTGTTGTGGGCCACTGTAAGGAAGTGTATGTTGCTTCTGCTTCTCTTCTCCCTGCCTTTTTGGGGCAGAGCGCAGGTTGCCAGCCAGCACCTTCCTAAGTGCTCAGGCGCCTGGGTGGGAAGATGAGGGAAGACCCGCTGGCTTCTCAAGCCCCTCTTGGCCTTTCCATAAGGCGAGTCCTTGACTGTCTCTTCCTCCCGTATGCAGTCTGCCATCCCCTTCCTCATCCTGGTGGTCGTCATAGAGAGCAACCTCATCATCACCTACCTTGCAGCCATTGCAGCTGGGATCAGCGTTGCTGCTGCTTTCCTCTTGCCCTGGTGAGTCCGAGTCCTCATACTTCAGGAACTCGGAGGGTCCTAGCTAAGGGTGGGTCTGGCTCCTGTGCTTGGGGGCAGACCAGTCACCAAACCTGGGGTCAGGAAGGAACTTTTCCTTCAAGTCAGACTGTTGTCCTGTGGGGTCAGGCCAACTCTCAGGATCTCGATGTTGCGCTGTTAGATGGGAGGGTGTGACACAACTGCACATATACAAACACACAAATCAATTAGGTGCGCACACACACACCCAACTCAGGGACATACACATCCAAACTAGTCTAGGCACATGGATACCTATCGCCAATTCAAGCACATCCACTATACCCCCCAAAAGTTAGACAAAAATCACTTGTCCATACCCACACACTCAGTACACATACAGAGATCACTAATTCGTATATCATGTGCACAGTGAGAGAGAGCGCTATATATATATGCACCAGTTCACACGCATACAACCCACCTACACATACACACAAGTAAGTTCCTAACTTGGATGGTACAGTATGTGTGTGTGTGCTTGGAGTACCTGGGATGCTTGAGGGAAGGTTAAGGTGAGAGAGACAGTTAAAGTTGCCAGAACCAGGATCAGAACCAGTGGACTAGAGAAAATCTGGCTGAGGAACTGAGACTTGGGTTTACTTAAGATCAAGTGGCCCCAGGGTTACTGCAGGTCACTGGTGCAAGGGAAAAAAACCTGGTGGCAAGGAGGAGACGGCCAGGAAAGAGAGAGAGACAGAAACCTGAGATCTTGGGACTGGAAACTGGCAGACAGCTGAGATATGGGGGTGGGGGGCGGCAGATAAGCG